ATACCTAAATACTTAAAATGGAAAACCTGCTTAACAGCATTACCGCTGATAGCCCAGTTATACAATTTCTGGGCTCTAGAGAACACCAATACTTTGGATTTGTTGTAATTAATAGACAAGTGGTTCTCAGCACAGTAGGACCCGAATGCAGAAAGTAATCTTTTCAGACCTGGCCTTGACAATGAAAGGAGGGCCGCATCGTCAGCATAAAGCGGGATCTTCGTAGTTGACAACTTTGGGGCGTAATAAGAGTTAACGGAGAGGCAGTTTCTGTAAGCAACACCAGAATGTTTCCTTTCTGCCTTCCTTACAGGATTAGGCCAGTAATTTCTTCTAACAACTGGTTCTCTGAACTGCTTAGGATGTTAACAACCGGTTCTAGTGAATAGGTGCGAAGTGGTAGAATCCCACCCCTGAAGCAGTAGACTCTTGACTCCACACCCGCCCAGACCCATAATGGTGGATGGGGACACCCACTATGAATAGGCCAAATATTAGATTCTCAGGTGCATAGGGGGACCCTGCAGTACATTGGAAAGGGTACCCCATGGCTGAGGCCTCATGGGTGAGGAGCCAAGATGTATGGGCGGAAAAACTGATCAACAAGTTTCATAAGGAAAATTCCTTGAAGCCCAGACAGGACACCCGGGGTGGTCCACTGATCTGTGCACGTGCTTGCTCTCTTCCAGATACATTCGCCTCGGTAGAGGGGGCTGCCTGTCAATGTCCGAGACAGGATGCTGTTCAAAGTTGCCACAACGTGCCATTTTGGAGTTGCCATACACACCCTGGGGTGTGTGTGCATAGGGCACAGATGGGAGTTGGGTGATGGGACTCACGCTAGGAGAGGAGCCAGGAAGGCAAGCCAGCTGCTGTCTGTTCAGAAGCCATCCAAGCCTGAAGAGTACTTGCTGGAGCCAGCTGGGAGCAACCGGAAACAGGAGGGCGGGGTATGCTGAGTCTGTATAGCCAGCTAGCTAGAAGAAGCCAGTAATGCTGGCTAGAAACCCTTTTACTTGTATTGTTCACCAGTGCCAAACTGAGACTCCAGTCAAGAGACCCGTTCTGCTCACAGTGTGCAGTCTTCTTTTGCTGGTTTGGTTTGGAACCATGACATAGGGACTGATTTCTTGGATAAATGAAACTATCTTGACTGATTTTCTATTTAGACATCTTTCAATGCCTCCTTAGAAAGGTTCTCATAATTTTGAAAGACATTACAATGAAAGCTTTATTTTTAAATAAAATTTCCCAAAATTCTCCTTTGTTCAACTCTTCATAATTTTCTAGTGCATGGTTATGCTTCGGTTTCTGTGTTTTCTGTGGGAAAATAATTATCTGCATGAATCATCCTCTTATTAGCAATGATTCTGGAAAAAAGCTGCCTAAAAATACTTTGCTATATGTCCAGCAACAGGATGTGACAAGGGAAAGAATACTCTGCTCTTTTTTCTAGACACTCATCAGTTTCTAATCCCCACTATTGGTGAGAGGCGTATGCTATTGCTCTAAAGTTGTATTATTTCTGTCTGGAAAGCTGCACTCAGAAAGTGGTGCTGAAGAAAGTGATATATAGAAGACTTTTCAATTTTGTCTCTCAAGAGTTTTAATGTCAGTTTGATGTCCAGGAGATCTTCGATGACATAAGCTGAGATGTTACAAGCACGATAATTACAAGGCTCTAAATTTCACTTTTATAATTTTGTACTAGAGGAAGAGTTAAAATATTATTTGAAGTTTGTTCACATCCTCATGGGAGTTAACAGGCAAAAACCAAATCTAGACAAAATTTACAATCTGACTGAATAATGATGAAGGTTTAGTTCCTTAACAAGCAGATTCATCTTGGAAATTTCCTTGATCTTTCACTTTCAGTAGAATTTGTTTCATTTATCTATCAAATTTCTCACTTCTAGAATGGACTAACAGAATTCATAGCACAGCGTTTGAAATGAATCTAGAAGATTTTGTAGTTAAAAATGTGGCAACCAGGATTTTGTTTGGCATTTGTGAATCAGAGTATATAATGTACATTTTATTTCAGTTTCCTTGGTTTCCAGTTTGTTTCCAGACTCAATTCTATCAATTTATTTATTTATTTATTTATTTATTTATTTGATTTGATTTGATTTGATTTGATTTGATTTGATTTGTCAGTCGCTTACAAGATAATAGGTATAAGTATATACATAGTTATGAATACATGAAATGGGTACATATAAGAAAAATAAAAGAAACAATAGGACAGGGACAGTAGGCACGTTGGTGCGCTTATGCACGCCCCCTACAGACCTCTTAGGAAAGGGGTGAGGTCAATAGTAGACAGTCTAAGGTTAAAGTTTTTGGGGTTTGGGGAAGAAACCACAGAGTCAGGTAGAGTATTCCAGACATTGACCACTCTGTTGCTGAAGTCGTATTTCCTGCAATCAAGTTTGGTGCGGTTAACCTTGAGTTTGTATCTATTGTGTGCTCTTGTGTTGTTATGGTTGAAGCTGAAGTATTCATTGACAGTAAGTCATTGCAATGTATGATTTTATATACCATACTTAGATCAGACTGAAGACGGCATAATTCAAGGTTTTCTAGCTCTAGAATTTCAAGTCTGGTGGCATAAGGTATTCTGCAACAAGTAGAGGAGTGGAGAACTCTTCTTGTGAAATATTTCTGGACTTTCTCAACTGTGCTAATATCAGATACGTAATGTGGGTTCCAGAGTGATGAGCTGTATTTGAGTATTGGTCTAGCAAATGTTTTATATGCTCTAGTTAGTAGTGTGATATTACCAGATTAAAAGGTACGTAGGATTAGGTTAACAACTCTTAATGTCTTTTTGGCTATGTAGTTACAGTGGGCTCTAGCGCTTAGATCATTAGAGATGAGTATTCCAAGGTCCTTTACAGAGCTTGGACCATCAACAAGGTCTTGACTATTCAGCTTGTATTTTATTTTCTGATTTTTTTTGACAATATGTAAGACAGAGCATTTATTTGTTGAGATTTGAAGCTGCCATTTGTTTGACCATTCTGATACATAGTCAAGATCTTTTTGAAGGGTAGCAGTATTATCTGTGGTATTGAACAGCTTTACATCATCAGCGAAGAGAATGCAGTTGCTCTTAATATGATCACATAGGCCATTTATGTAGAGTATGAAGAGAGTTGGTCCTAGAACACTGCCTTGGGGGACACCACTATTGACAGGTACAGAATTTGATAGGACACTCCCAATTTTGACCATTTGTTGTCTGTTTGACAGGAATGCTTGTATCCAGTTTGTATGCCTAGGTTCAATTTCTGACAAACAAATTATTTTCCACATAGATCTGCTTGACCATCAAGAGAGGCCTGCTCTGAGTATGGTATAGTGGAACCTCTGGTGATGACCGTAATCCGTTCTGAGAATTCGGTCGTCACCCGATTTGCTCATCATCAGAAATGCATGCACATAAAAACAAAAATGGCACAGCGTGGAAGGGGAAATCAGTGTGGACGGGCAAATCGCTGTCCTTTGGTCACCACCCAAGCACCCGTTCATAACTAGAGGTAAGAACTTTTGTTCGTCACCCAATTTAGTCATGAACGGAAGCATTTGCCACCATATACCAAGTACCCAGGAGCTTAAATGTGAGGGCTGCCTCCATCCAATTCCTAGGAAAGGAAAACCCTTGGCTCCATAGATTCAGAGAAAACTTACTTTTATTAGAAGAGAACTGAATGCAACAAGTTTCAGCCAAGATCTGAGGCAAAAGCGTGCGAAGCCGCAAATTGAAACAAACCATAGAGCCCAACATCCACCACCCCCCCATCACCGGTTAGCCAGGCAACCAGAGGGCAAGCCTGGAAATGTTTTGAGAGAGTTTGATTCAAGTGCATTGTCTCTGGCTGTTGCATACCAAAACTAGAAGAAATGACCTTGGAGAGATAAGCAAAGCCCAGAGCATAGTTGCAAAGCTGCAATGAAAATTTCTCCAGTGACTCCTCCCCCCATTTTCCATGGCAGCAAGCAGCAGGCTGGCTGACATTAACTGAGTATGCACAAAAGATAGGATCTTCTTTGGGGTAGCACAATTTCATTCTTAGTTTAAATCAGTTTGGCCGCCTTTCTTTTTTCTTTGATTCAAAACTATTTCCATGTGCTTTGAATATGTGACACCTAATTTTGTATAATATCTTACATTAACTGACACTGGCAGTTCAACGTAGTGGTTATGTTGTCTTTTAAGAATGTTGATACTTTTACTACTAGTGTTGTCCAGTTCTGATAATTATGCTACTCATTTTTAGTACTAGAATGAATTATTATCATGGTTGGTTGCACAGATGTTTAGACTGAATTTTGTTGAATCCTTTCCAAGGACCTTGGATAGGAAGATGTTGTCTGATGGTTTTATAAAAAGGTATTGTTGCAAGAAGTAAGCTATTCCAGATACAGCTGCCTTTTGCAATTGACTAATTGTGATTTTCTCAGTGCTAGTGGTGTTCACGTGGTATTCCAGATGTTTTGGAATTGCCCCCAAGGCACCTATTACCACTGGTATTATCTTTGGTTTCTTTTGCCATAGTTGCTCTACTTTACCTTGCAGGTCTTTGTGTTTTGTGATTTTCTCTGATTCTTTCTCTTCTATTCTGATGTCTCCAGGTACTGCCATGTCCACTTCAAGAATTAAAGTTGTATAATTGTGTATAATGGAAGAAAAATGTATTTTACACATATTTTAATAGATAAGTTGACATATTGGAATGGAAAAGGAAGGGTAAAAACGTAAGATGTGGCTACGCAAAGTAAATAAATCAAAACTATTTACAACAATGTCTGTTCATTGAGGAATTGCACTACTTGGTATAAGTACAGTAATCAAAAAATGAATTGTATGCCTAGTGATACTGGTAATATAAATGTATTGGTGAGAAATATGATCTAATGAAATTATTTAGCCAAAAGACATTCTATTTGATTTGTACAATAACAATAATAAAGACTGAAGCAAGATCCAACATTTATTAAGGTTTAGAAAGGATAGAAGATGAAGATGGATTATGTCTGTGCACATGTGCATTATATTTTTGGTCACCGTCGTATTAAAACATTTATGTAGCTTCATTCATCTTGCAGAAATTCACTGCTTTCTTCTACAGGGAAACAAGCATGCAGGTGTCTGTTGTCAGACTTCTGGGCATTTTCTGCAGCTGCTCTTCGTCTGCCAAACCGCCCCACAGGCCGGATCCCTCGCCCCGTGTACCAGGAAGGATCAATATCAGGATCTGCAAGGCAAAACCCAGAAGAAGTCAGTGAGAACTCAGTGGAAAGGGAAACAGCTGCATTGTTCCCAGTATATTATAAAACATGGAGGCGCTCATTTTAGAGGAGATAGTATTAGTGTTACAGTCTTCTGAAAAACTTATCAGTTTTGGTAGGTGAATGGGACTCTTTCTATCAGGTCAGTCTCATAAAATAACCTGTATAAAGATGGTTATTGTACGTGATAATGCTAATAGTCATCATCATTGACAAAAGCAAAGGACTTAAAAATATGGGCATTTGTTATCCATGAGTGTAAACTGTATTCTTCTGCGATTGTTATACAGTGTTAAAATGCAGCCATTGTCATATCTGGAGAAAAAAAAAATTAGGAGAAACAATTTCTCATTTTCTTTTTTGATGCCAGGTGCTCTTCATACTTGTTCAAAGATATGCATGTTTTTTAAAGTGTATATCATTTGCACAATTTTACTAGTATGTTTTGAACTGTATTTTAAACACTCACTAGAAATAATATTAGCCACTAGACTTCAGAACTTTGATATAAAAAAAAAATTCTCTACACCAGGAGTTCCCAAACTCTTAAGCTCACTGATCCTCCCAGGACGTTTTAGATTGTTCATCAATCCCCCAACCTTTATTGCATGAAATAAGTGTAATAAGTACTACTTCATCTAATAGTACTAGAAATAATAAGAACAGTATAGATAGTTCTCAACATGACCTCAGTTGGGACGAGAATTTCTCTTGTAACGAGTTAACCTGTGACTGGACCTGATTTTATAACAATTTTTACCATTTTTGTTAAGTAAATCACATGGTCATTAAATGAATCCAGCTTCCCCAAATGATATTTTTTGTTAGAAACCAGCTGGGAAGGTCAATATCATGATCACAGGATTGCAGGACACTGCAATCAGTTGTAACGGTGAGCTGATTGCCAAGCACCTGAATTGCGATCGCAGGCTGTGCGATAGTCTGTTGTAAATTGCAAGTTGTAAAGACAGGTTATAAATAACTTTTCTGAAGCCACTGTAACTTTGAGATGTCATTAATGAATGGTTGTAAGTCGAGAACCACCTCTAATGGGTAGTTCCATCAACTCTTGGGAGTCAATACAAACCACTTGGGGGGAACACTGGTCCCAATTGTCTGTGAAGAAGGCGATTCGCCATTAGATTTCAGGGATGGAAAGAGCAGCAGCTTTAAAAACTGAATGTGTCCATATTCACATCCAGGTATTGTACTCTAATGCAGTGGTCCCCAACCTTTCTGGCTCTGTGGACCGCCACCAGTGGCGGGAGAGCGGATGGTATCAAGCACATGTGCACCACTTGCGCAAATGCAGCTTTGTGTGCTCACAAAGTTCCCAACAGGCTGTAGCCCAGCATTGTGCCACGGTCCAGGGGTTGGGGACCCCTGTTCTAACATCCTTAGGTCAAGTTGCACAATTTGTTCCTCAAAAATGAAAGAGAGCATGAAGAAAACAGTCTGAGGAAGCTCAGGTCAGCATGTGTCAAATAAATAAGGACAATAGAAGAATAGATGAAATGGCAGGGAGCATGGGCTGAATTTTCACCTATGTCAGAGAGTGCAGATTGACTTTCGAAAGCCAAGGCTCAACATCTTCTGCATGCTCTCTTTCTAATCTCTAGCCTGTCTTTTGCCTGTCTGGAAATGAATGCCACTAGGATCGTCTGCACAGGAAACTGTCTTTGTACACTGTACAGTTTGGACAATAAGCAACAATTTGATAAGGAAGAGATTACATTTCTTTCCAAAGTTGCATTTGCTAGCTAGTGTTGCTGTATTTGGAACATCAAAGTATGTGAATTAAGAGACGAGTTTTGGACTAATCAATGGATCATAGCATATGCTTTCCATCTTGAGATCATTGGATGACTGAATGTAATTCTGGAGAAAATAATACCCTGTTTCTCCAACAATACGGCTTCCCCCAATAGGAAGTCCCAGCATGTTTTATAGGCATGAAATGAAATTAAGCCCCTCCCCCCAAATTAAGGCCTATATTAAAACATGCAAAATGGGGGGGGGGAATGGTGGGGGGGCTTGCCATTAGGAAGTACTTTTGTTGCACACCCGGATATGGTGCTGCCTGCGTTGACCCTGATACGAAGTGCCCCACCAACGCCGAGGTCAACATCCAAGCCATTGCCACCCGCCCACCCAAAGATGCAAGGGGGGGGGGAATTAAGTCACAAAAGACAGCCTAGCTATTTTTTCGGGGCTCAAAAAAAAATAAGACCCGGCCTTATTATATGAGAAACATGGTATTATATGTATGGACAACTGCTATTGCAGAATGGAGGTAAATGATGAAAAGACACATGGGAGACATATGTTTATAATATTATGTTTGGTTGTTTTGGTCTAATAAAGTTTAAAAACACTGTGGTGTAGGGCAAGGGAGGTCTTTTTCCACCGGGGACAATACTTTTTTCTATTTTGTTTCCCAGCGCTTGAGATCTTCTGGTGGCAGCAACTTTACAAAGACAATGGTGGCAGTAGAATTTTTCAGGCTTTTGAATTAATAAAAGAAGTAAAAATCAATGAGAGGGGGAAAGAGGGAGGGGGAGGGAGAGAGATGTTTTTAAAGTGCCTGAAAAGTGTCTTCAACATATTTCAGGGTTTTGCTGTTAGATTTCAGCAATAAGATTTTTGAGAGCTGCAAAAGAAACTGTAGGGAACATCTGTGGTTGATTTCCAGAGTCTGGAACAGATTAGTCTAGATTAAGTGAAAAAAAATTATTTGCAGGTGTTGCATAGCAAGATGTCCAGAGTAACACATATCAGGCATATCTAGGTGGCAAAAATCTGGACAACCACTCGATCCAGATCAAATCTAACTGTTTATGCTATCTAGTGGTCTTCTAGATTTTTGCTGTCAAATGCAGTTTGCAATACATTCCGTTTAGAAGGTCTTGAGAGGGAAATGAGACAAAGCCAACAACCATTGGGTACTACCCCAGATTCTACCTTCAGCCAGTGTTCAGGTTTGTACGGTATATATGCTGGACATTTTGCTCATGAAAAATATCTCTATCCACGCAATCACCTGGCTGTGGGAACTTACTCCTGATCTCCATGAATCGTTCAAGGATTCGGCATTTAGTCTCAGGTATAAAGGCCAGCAGCAGAAGGCAGACAACTAGCAGTCTCATTCCTTTAGGTTTTTTTCCCCCACTCTTCAAAGTACTTTGATATCTGATGGTAAACAAAGAAAAAAATAGGTGACCTGTAGCAACAGGAAACAAAAAGTATGTTACTGGACTCATACAAGAAAAGCACTCCTCAAAAGACAGCCTTAGTAAAGTACAGAGTCATTGCAAAATTCTACAACAGCAAAACAAGTTTGAATGTTGAATTTCAAGTAAAAATTACTTCCTGAAAAATTACATCTTGGTACTCAAATGTGTTTGCCACTAAAATTGCCATCAAACTGATATAAAAAGCATGGTCTATTGTTTTGATTGCTTAAGTAAGTTGCTTACTCTGCTTTGGGTTTTTTCATTTTTAGATTCATATTCTAAATATCATTCTTTAATTATTGGATTTCCATCTGAATTTGCTTTGTGCTTTCGAGCCAAGCTAACCTTCACACTCATGTGTGGAATTTTTAGAAATAAAACGGGGGTGGATTTTCAACTTCCACTCCCTTTTCTGCTGAAAATGAGCTTATGGGCATAAGATTCTGTTGAGCCACAAACCTGAAATACAAAAGTCAGTTTTGAATATGATTTTCATGGAAAACTATCAAAGCACACTTTATTCCACTCCACCCTAGATTCCACTGCTGTATGAGTCTCCTTTAGCATTCCAAGTTACACTTTTAGAAACATACAATTCACATCATGTTTATTTTGGCCAGCATCAGAAAGTTCCTTGGCCCTATTTTTTTTTCATCAGAATTAGCGTTTGGCAAACTCACTTTCACCTCTGTCAAACCACAGCCAGGAACTGAGGAAAAGGGAGCAAAAATTAGGTCCAGGAATACTTGCTCTTTGAAAGTTCAGACTTCTTCCAATTGGGTTTTTACTTATTACAAGCAATCTCATTGAATAGGGACAAAGATTCACTGATGCTTTTGAATTTTAAAGAGAGGTGTTCTTCTAACTCTCCTTTTATCAGTTCCCAGGGCTTACCTTTGCAATCTTGTAGCAGCCTGTCTGGTCCAGCACACCAGAGGTCTCCACATCTGCTGTACCAGTGGCCCATTGTTGCCATTTCCATAGTCAGGCTACCCATCTTTCTATCAGCTGTGCTACCAGGCAGTTTCTTGAATTTGACTTGTGTCCACTGCCTACCTTCCCCAAAGCTAATCAATCTGTAAGCAACACTAGTGTCAGGGTTCTGACGGATGCCCTAGCACCTGTTCGCCTTGAGGTTTTTCTGTGGTTCTCTCACAAAGACCAACATGAACACCCATAGGAATTTACCTGCCATCTTGGGAATGAGACCACTGGACATCCTTCTGGGCTATATCCATAAGGGAATATATTTGTTCTGCATAAAGGAACCATGTCAGCCTGGAAGCCAATAGAGCAAATGATCAGAGGTTTAACACATGGCTTCATTTCTTAGTTTTGGAAACCTCAAGAGTCCTCTCTTCCTGGCTGCCATGCTTTCCTCCCAGTACAAAGCATCTCATGATGACAAGACACCAAGCATACCAACCAGCTATGCTGTCTGCCTTAGCATCCATAACACCCCAGGATGATAGAGTACAAGACATTCTCACATCCCAGGATAACTCATTTTTCAGCATCTATCATGTCAAGCTTGGCGTAACCAAGAAACAAGTCAGAGTTTATCCTTTTGTTGTGATTGGTTCTTTTTTTATTCCTGCTTTAAAACAGGTAAAAGGGTAATATTTCAAAATTCTATTCTATAGAATTCTATAGCCACCCATCTTCTATTTCCCAAGAGCCATCTTTGACTGTGTCTCTCCCTCCACCCCTTGCTGTCTTTATTATATCAAACATCAAAGTGTATTTGACCAATCACTAAGGCATCTAGATCTAGACTGAACATTTTATCTTTTGTAATTTGACTGATTGCTTCTCATGTTCTCTTTGCCCGCACAAGAAAACATTATGTACATGTTTAATATTTGCCTGAGCTAATCATCACCCACCATTCATAAATGTAAATATTTATTAAGCAAACGTTTCCCTATTGTTTGAACTAATTAATCCCATTCAGAATCAAAGGTAACTGTTTTCCAAATAGGAAAAAATGACTGCAAATTTGTTATATGTGTATTACATCTCACATACATGGCTTATAATAAAAGAAATAAAAATGAAATAAATGCATAGTATAAAATAAAATACATTTTTATTGTCAAGAAAAACTTATAAAATTATCTCACAATTATTTAAATCTTTTTGGAGTATCATTATCTAAATTAATTAAATAAATAGCCCCTATGGTGGCTGCAGGTAAATCATTATCTCCTTTAGGAGGAAGCAAAAGTTGAGCTCCAGTCTCATTTTCATGGTGGAGTCAACTGGCAAGCTGGAGGTAAGCTGGTTTATTTAAATTTTAGTTTCCAAAGTGGAAAGCTGGGATAACATGATCTACATTTATTATTTATCGAATAAGTTGTCTTTTGAACACAGACACAGACACAATTTTAAAATAAGAAATCAATATGTCTGAAATAAGCACACTGGAAATTGTTTCATCTGCATTGTTCTTTATAAGGAATGCCACTATTTTGCTTAAAAACCAATGAAATTGCAAAACAGGAAATTACTACATTAGTAGAATACAATAGCAAACAATTAGTAATAGTCAAATGAACTTGCTTATAAAGCACACAAAAATACAAACATACACAAACCCTAAAATACGAAACAATGCCATGGGAAAAATGGATCTGGAAGATGATTTCATTTAGCATTTCCCCCCATAACTTGAATGGGCTACTGAGAACATGCATGCCATGCTTTGTTTTGCTTTCCTTATTCCCACCTTTCCGAAAAGCAGACATTCATAGAGCTAACAGACTGCACTGGAGGCAATACTCACTTCTCTGTCAAGGGGACTGGACAGTGGCACATCCAGGTTATGCCTTCAGTGGCCAGGCTCAGTGCAAGCTGGTGGTCCTTTTCCCCCTTTTATGTCTTCCTTTTGTATATGCATGGCAGCCTCTGACATCAGCATTGGGACAGGGCATCTCAACAGGCTCCCCCCTCCCCCCTTTACAACTTCAGTTCTTTTCCCTCAAGTCAAGGAAGGAGGTTTTCTTATTTGAAGTACTTTCTCCCTTTAAGCAAATGAGGTAAAGAACTGGGAAACTAGATTGGCTGTATGCCTTCACTGAGATTTTACAAGTTTGAGATATTCTGAAAGATCATTTTGATTAGCAAAAGATAATATTGGCATTTATTTTATTTCTATAGCCACCTAATTCAATCCAATGCCTCTGGGGGATGTACGATTCTAAAACAATTAAAATATTTAAAATTTAAATCTCAAATTTTCAATCTCCCTCTCTTTCTTCTGACTTAATCTGTGAGCCTCTAATGTTGATCTATTTGTACTTTAGGTCAAGTTACACTGAATAAATAAAATACGTAAAATAAAATGGCACATTTTGCTCTGGATTTCAAAATTTCTCACTCTGATTTAGCTGTGGTTCCTTGGACAGCTGATCACAGCTGTGCCAGAGGCACATAGAAAAGCATTCAGTGACATTGATCTTAACAGGTACAGGATGCATGGTGGGATTATGGACAGCTTTGATTTTCAGCTCTGCCTATGTGGACCTCAGAGCTGTTCTTTTGGATGGAGGACCTACCATATAGTCCAGGGTCACTTTTCCTCCTAGGGGTTTCAGTCTGGGAGGTAGATGTGCAATGTGCATCCTCCAACTGTAGTGGGAACAGTTCATATCCTAGAAATTGAAATTTTATTATGGTTTCACTTTCACTAAACACAATAACAGAAAGACACACACACTGGTTTCTGGATTCCACATACGAGTTCTCAGAATGGCTGCCTTATCTTCAACCTGAGAAACTTCTTTTGTTCTTCAAATGGTGAAAAGTCAGTATCATTCCTCTTCATCCAGCATGGTGGGTTATATGAAGGGACCATAGGCCTCCCTCTTCCTGTTTGTTGTGATGGTGGATTGTATATATGCATAACTAAATATATGGGTATTCCAAATTTCCCTCATCATAAAAGACATAAATATTTCTCCTCGGTTTCCAGTGTTTGCCTTTTATATTAGCATATAGTATGAAAAAAAAACAAATCTCATTTTTTAAAAAAGTAAAAGGCTAGTGTGTCAGTGATTGGGCAAGTGTGGAATAATGAAATTTACATTTCTGTTCTACCCTAAAATAACAGCAGATACAGTGTTTACAATTAAGTGAAAATGATGTCTATTCATCTGCACTAATATGGGATCCTATTACCTTTGCAGTCAATTACGTGTAAATATCCAGAAAAATAGAAAATATCAAGAAAATGACCAGCCGCCCATTATCTTATGGATTCCTTTACAGAAGACTTTCTGTGATGAGGTAATATAGCTGCGGGTTGGATCTTTCAATGAAATTCCTGTTCAGTTTTATGGCTCACTGATTTGCCTTGGACAAGCTAGCTTATAAATCTCATAGTATACAGTATATAACATAGGACCACTCTAAATAAAAACACTGGAGAATAGGAGGCATTGTTGGAATGTAGAAAACTTGTAATTTTTCCTGATTTGCAATTCAATTAATACATATGTGTATATTATGTACCATGTAAGAAAACGATCAATTTCTTACATAACATCACTATCTGGAAGAAGCTGAAACTGCATCTACAATAACCTCTCATTAAAAAATAAGACTATTGATTTAGAAGGTCTCTCTCTTTGGGTTAGGGAATGTGTTATGCTTCTGATAACACTAGTGACAGATCACACAGTGGCTTATAAAGAAGAGCCTTGGTTGCACAGTGGTTAGAATGCAATATTGCAGGCTGTGTCCACGGTCCGGAGTTGGATCCTGATGAGGTTCAAGGTTGACTTAGCCTTCCACCCTTCTGAGATTGGTATAATGAGGACGCTGTTTGTTGGAGGCAATATGCTAATATTGTAAACTGCCCAGAATTCTGTAAAGCACCATGGAATGGTATAGAAGTCTAAGTGCTATTGCTATTGCTGTAGGTGTGGCTATAAGTGTAAACAATCAAATAAATATTGGGGTATCAGGTCTTTCACTGCTCCAACTAAGTATCATGAAAGTGGATAAGGGGCACACCACCATGAAAAATGATTCTGCCCCATTGTGTTTTGAGCCTTGTGAGCCTAGCCTTGTTGAATGGGAAAGGTAGCATGCAAGCAGAACTGTGATATCAAAGGTACTGAATGTGTAAGGATTTCATAAGCACTCAAGCAAAAAACATTTTAGTCTTTCTGGATGCTGGAAACAGAGTTGAAAGGAAGTGACCAATGTCACTTCTGAATCCATTCAGATTCACTTGATCTAAGCACCGCCTTTTGGCATTCAGGAATCGTTCACCACCTTTGACTCTATTCCATTTACTAGTGTAAACAATAGGAACAATTACATGCATTTGGAAATGCCATTATTCGGTCTTGGGGATTTAAAAATAATTCAGCATCCACATCAGGATATGGCACTGCCCAGTAAGGCAAAGCAATTAAAGCATAGGCTTGCAGCTTTGAACATTTAGAATTGAGCAAAAAGAGAAGATATCCTATTCTTTCTGTGAAGTTTTTGAGCAATTAGCATTAATAAAGCAGTGGAGGAACATAACTTTAGGTCCAGAAGATATTTGGAAGGACAAGTACTGTGATCAAGATGTAGGATAAAAAGCAGTCCAGAACTTTGCAGGTGAGAATTCATTACATAATCTTCTCTCTTTCTGCATTCCTACATCTCTATTAATCACTAGATTTGGAAGATGCAGGAGAGTGGTTTTAATGTCATTTCTTGTAGGAAGCTAGAGCTATTAATCACAAAACATCATCTTATCCCTACTACCTGGTGTTTTCTTTCTATGAAAAAAAATATATAACAAGAGGTTCACAACAATATTAAGCACAACTGATAATGACAACAACCACTTCCAAAGCAAATTGAAAAACTCCAGAAATTCCATCTTCACGTTGTGGGGCTTCTAGGCAGAGCCACTTCATTTTGGAAATGATCTAAATCTCTTTGAAATGGTCTCCCCTTCACTGTTCTCATTTAACCTGTTATGAAATAGATAAATAAATGCCATATTTCCATATTTTTAAACATTTGCCTTTGGTGTTACAATCTTGCCTTCTTTTCTGGCTTTAATGCTCCCCAAGCATAAGATTTCCCAGTGTTTAGCTGCCCACATTCACATTCTATAGGAAAGCAGCAAACCCCTATCCCTTGGGGAATGGGGTGATGGTGGCAAGGTCCACATGGCAGGAGGGAAGAAGAAGTGCCAAGAACGTGGAGGTAGGAATTCCCCCACCCCCACCCAAGAAATCTACCCTGCAGTTTCAGAGAAAATGCTGGAAAAGCTCCCTAACATTGACCCTCATCAAGAAGTGAGCGGTGAGCTAATTGGCTCTGCTTTCCACATCCCAAAGAAATGGACCTGAGGCAGCAGTGATCTCAAGGCTTCAGCTAGTTAATCAGACAATCAGAGTGGTAGAAAAGCCCATCTCTTTGCAAGCGAGGAAGGAAATTGGCATTTTGCTGTGGGGAATACAAACTATCCATTTATAATGCAGCCTATCTGGCTATATTTCTGAGTCAAGATAAAAGCTGATGCGTAAGATGTACAGAGTGAGGATAATGTCTGCTTTAGGGCAAAAGGGACACATTAGGTGGGGTTGCCCAATCCTTTTTGTTAAGGGGTCCAGTAGCTTTGATTGTTTTGGAATGAAGTCCTGCCAATATGCATGGATGTGGGGGTGTGGATATCTTTTCCTTCAGAAACCCTTGCCCCACAATTGCTTTATTTGAGAAAATATAGCCCTTAAAGAAGAAGAATAAAACTGCATGTAACACAGGCTTCTCTTCCTGATTGCATCAATGACATCAATTTACATTAACTGGAAGAGATCTGGACACATAATGGTTGATGAGAACATCGTAATGAAAGGATAGCTTACAGGAGGTATGAAAAGTTCAGGATACTGAAAAGTCACAGCTGTAACAGGAAAATGCCTTCTAATTTGGTTATTTACTGCAAAGATTTATTAGCATTAAAACTAAGAATTTTGGTCTGAACTCAAGATTCATTCTCAGCTTGGAAAAACATTAATCAGATAAACAGATATAGGAACTCACATTTTCAGTTTCTTTGTGCATCTTTAGCTATGTGAATAAAATGGATATGTATTGTAACTAATTGCCAAAGACATAAATATTAGGGCCATCAACATTTTAGATTTGATTTCAAAAGGCAACATGGCCAAAGAAGTAACTAGCACCTCTCTGCAACTGTTTTAAGCAGCCATATGATCCAAGAAAAAACTATGGCTTTTAGTTGCAGAAAGTTGCTGTATTTGCATTCCCATGTGCTCCAAAACATGTTGGGAATCATATTTGAAGCACTGCACAGCCCTAAATAAACATGTTGCAGATACATTTTGGATACAATTATATTAGGGTCAAAATGATGACACTCGGTCACATTGGAATAAAGACGCTCAACCACTTGTGGTAGGAGATGCCTGAACTTTGTATTTCTATCATGAAACAAATTCTAAGAATACCAAACCGTAATGACTTCACAGTTTCAATGCCTGCTTGATATACGGTCACTGTTGCCAACAAAAGTTCATTTTTAAAAAAAAAAATTCAGAGAAATCAGTAATATCTTAATTTTCTGAAGGTCTGTGCTCTTACATGACACAAAGTTTGAAGTTATATGTGAAAGACACCATGATGGTACACACAACTTGCATAGAAATTCAAATTTTAGAGTTTGAAAACATAGTTCTAGATTTAAAATACAATATGAAGAGAGGCACTGAAGCATCCCCATTATGTTTCCATAAGGATGAATGATTATGGGATTGCTGCAGCCACTGTAACTTTGACAAAGGGTCATATATAGTTTTGGGCAGAAGTGGTATTCAGCAGGTTCTGACCAGTTCTGGAGAACAGGTAGCAGAAATTGTGAGTAGTTTGGAGAACTGGCAAATACCACCTCTGACTGGAGATTTTATAGTATCCTTCTCCTGCCACGCCCACCAAGCTATGCCCACAGAACTGGTAGTAAAAATTTTTTAATCCCACCACTGGTTTTGGGGTGTTTGTTGTAACTTCGAACGTTCACTGTGGCCTGTCGTACCTCAAGGACTATCTGTATTATGTTGCCCTGAAATGGGTGAAGTCCCAGGACAAGCTTTTAACCTGGGAAAATCTACTGTGTATAAAATGATGAAAAATGCTAGCAAAAATTGTAATGCATTCGACCCCTTGGTTTACCATGAAATCCAGCTATAAGAAAAATGGAGATTATGCTTCCATTGCACATAGAAAGAAAACACTTTTAAGTAATGTGATACTTAAGAAGAAGGCTTTAAATGTTTATGAGAACATTTGTCAGTGCATGTCAGCCCTACTAGGTAAGCCAAACCAGGAAATCAAGTTCACTGAAAGGCTAGAACTATTTTTTTATTGAAATTGGCTGTAGTAACAGAATCTTGCAAGTCTGATTGCATTGTGCCTCCTCCTCCTTGAATTATGAAGATGTCTGCTTGGGTCATTTTCTAATGCTATCTTTTTCTGGACTTTAAAAATGCTTTAGCCCTTTTTCCTAGGCAACAGATCCTGCAAATCTTTGACAAGGTCATCTTCCTTACTCATGCATTTGCGTTATACAATTTGATACCATACTCAACAATCCTCTTTTCCCACTGGTTCAGTGTCTCATTCTTTATGCAAAATTTTGCGGACACATAATCCTAGCATAAAATGTGGGAAGTCTATAGTTACCATGGCATAAATTTCCAGGGGTTATAATTCAGTGGTCAACAGAATTAAGTTTGTACAAGACAAAATTGTTTCCCTCTATTTATTATGCTAATGAATTAGTCTTACGAAGTCTTTCTGAATCTTTTTTTTTTTACAAATAGATCATGACGATTTAATTCAAAAAGTGCAAGCTACCTTCAGGAATTATTGATTTTTCTACATTGTAAAGTAAATCAAACCCTTCTCCTTACCATCCAATGATTTAGTAATAGCAGCAGGACATGAATCTTGGGCAGTTCCAACACTGAAAATACAAAATGTATATATGGGTCCCATACAGCTAAACTACAAGCTTAGTGGCCTAGAAAACGTGTCTTTAATCCACCTGGATATATATTTAAGATAAGTGAAGAAGCTGAGGAAGGGATTCCATAACATACATTGAGACCTGCTGCTCTGCTAGATAAGTTAGAGCTCAAATGTCATAGGATTCTTCCTCAGAGATTTCTGTTCAGATATAATTTGTTTCTTTTCCTTCTTTCATAGAACAAATAGACTGGTAAAAGAGAAAAAAGCAACAAAAATAAAAACTTGAGCCAGGATTTTGCAATATTGATCTTAGAAGAGTCCACTGTTTTCAGGAACGATGGGTCATCACAGGTTTCTGTAAAGTATCAAAACATCAATATGAGGCTTTGGAGTTTTACTTATTTAAAACATTTACATAGCTGCTCATCTTCCATTCAGTTCTGAGTGGATCCCAATAAAAATCAGCAACTAACATCACTCATAAAAATTACTGGACTGATATTGTGCATACATTTTCCCCATGCCATTTAAAGAGTTAAAGTTTAGGAGTTTCAGTGCAGATTGAGCACAAATGCTGATAGATGCTCCTATGGCTCATAGCAATCACTGTTTTCCTTTTGACTGGCTTCAGAACAATGCAAAATGTTGTCATGAAACCAAAGAGAGGGTCAACATTTTCTAGCTGCAGATGTCTTGTTGAAAAAGGAGGTGATTGCTGCTTGCCCCTAACATATTCCAAAGAACTGCCAGAGTAATGACAGGGGGAAAAAAGAGGATAAGATTTCTGAGATTGTTACATACAGTATATGTATTATGTTGCAAGAAAAATACATTAGGATAAGACAAAAAGAATATGTTTATCTGTAGAAATTAATAGTTGCCTTATCTGTAACTTTTTAAAAATATGAATCAATAATAAAAGATAATAGAAAAATTTGGGGTCATTATTTTGAATGATAATTCAGGAGTATTTCCAACCCGGACTATTTCTCAAGATTAACTCACTCATTTATTCCCCAAAGGTCAACTGTCGTGCCCCTTCCCCAGTGCACTCTCCCCAAATTCACAGAATCCACAGTCAACTAGTTTTGTTATGATTTGTCATGTTTCCACTTTCAAATTGGAATTATGTACGCCTCCTGAAAGGTTCCCATCTTTTAAAAAATAAAGAGTGCTCCCTGGTGCAAATATACTGCCGTAGAAAAACAGCAACAGAAAAAGTAGGAGCAGGAATATTTTTGTGACTCTTGGAGCGAGAGGGAGGGAGGGAGAGAGAGAGAGATGTGAAATTGCCAAACAAGTAAGCTAGCTCTACCATAGCTATATATTTTTATATTTCAATTTTAAAATAAGAAATCAGCCAATAGATAAAGTTATTGTTGATGGTTGCATGAATTACTTGGGATTATATGATTATATAATTGTATATGATTATTATAGCACCATGATGGTGAACCTATGGCACGCCTGCCGGAAGTGGCATGCAGAGCTACATCTGCCGACACGTGAGAGGTCGCTCGGAAGAGCCCCACTGCGCATACGCACGCCGCTGCCCAACAGCTGATTGTAGGGTATCTGGTGCGCATGCACGGCGTGCGCAGATGTGTGTGCATGCGCAGAGATGCACAGCGCGTGCAGGGGGTCTCACGTGCATTCAGAAATGCACGGTGCAAGCAGGGGGGTCGTGCGTGCATGCGCAGGGTCGTGCTAGCATGCATTACTTCTGAGTGCTGGCATGTGAGTGCGTGCACTCAATTTTCGGCACAGAAGCCAAAAAAGGTTAGCCACCACTGTTACAGCATATAATATAGTAAGATCATGTGATTGATTTCCCTGATACAAAAGCATGCTATACAGCTATTAGCTGTTATTTCCACTTATCTGATTCTGGATTCTGTCTAATTTACATGTTTTCATATTAATAACAGCCTCTTCTTGATAAATGACCACATATCTTTCTCCTACAAAAAACAGTAGCCTTCTATTGGAATTTGGCATTTCATGGTAAAGAACTCCTCTATTCGTCTCTGTTACCCTTTTTCTATCATCTATTTTCAGTCGGGATGAAAGCCATGAAGTAAATTCTGAATACTTGCCATGAAGATGTGATCTATTTTTCTGTTTCTTCCATTTGGATTTCGTTGGGTCAATGATCCTCTGTAATAGGAGTTCCGAGAAAAGGATTCATCATTGCCTTGAAAAGTTAAAGAAAATAATATAGATGACAAGATGCTGCAATAAAATTGTTTGTGTTTAGCTGGTCTTAAAAGGTAAGAATGGGGAAAGAACCAAAGTACACATGCAATGTTTAAATAGAGGAAGAATTTGTAAGTTGAAAACCTCTTCTAGGATAATAATCCAACCAGCATGTAAAAAGTAAGTTTCTGCAACACTTTTAATGTACAAGTTAGACAAAGATCTTTTTCTATATTTAAGAGAATTTATTTATCTCTATGAATTACTTGGCATTCCCCACAATATCATTTATTCCCATTTATTCCAAGTTTGGGCACAATATTATACCTAAACAATTTAATGACAACCTTTTTGCTTTAGTGACCAATGCTTGTTATTAGAAATTGTATTAATGTAAGAATTACATTGTTGACTCTTGATTTCTATTCATTTTTTTCTTTTTGTTTTAAATCTCCATGTTCAGTGTGTTGCACTATGTTTTAAAATGAGAAAATGCAGTACACTGCACTTTTAAAATTATTTTGTGAACTTTGCAATTACAATGTTAAGTTAGAATTACTGCCTCCATACTGTAGCAGCTGAGTGAGTGATCAATAATATTTTCTAAGTCCTCCTTTTCCCTCTCAATTCATAGAAGCAAAATCTGAACCGACTACAGGTAGTCCTCACTTAACGACCCTAAATTGGACTGGAATTTCTATTGCTAAGTGAAGCAATTGCTAGACAAAACATCAGGTGACCATACTGCTTAACAATGCAGGCAGTTCCAGCAGTCCAGTGGTCATTAGTCAAAGAATGCACTTTCATTAAGCGAGGACCTCGTACTTCTATTCTCTGCTTCAACTCCCCACTCACCCCTCCCTCCTGCCACCCATATAAGCTGCAGCACACAGTGGCTCAGATTTAAGTGTTTGACCATTAGTCCTCCTTTCTATACAAGTGTGAATTCTTCAACAAGATTCAGAAGTGCTTCTGGCACACATTATTCCTGCTTTCTGCTTCCATGTGGATCTGAGTAAAAGATGTGACTTACTCTAAGAGACATATTAAATTTAAATAAAATGGGAGAGCTCTGCAGAAGTGTGCTGCTACTTCAGCAACTAGTAGAATCAATTCTTCCCTGTTATTTTCAGAGGCATCACAATTCTAAAATTTACCCTAGTAAATTACACCTAGTAATGAGAGTATGCTAACCAAATGGGGGCATTTGGGGCCGGTATAAATAACTGTATGGAAAGAAAAATTGTGGAATACTTGAAATTTGATTAAGCAGATATTGCTTTAACTATTTAATGTTAATTCCACTTTCCGCAAGTATCAGTCATCCCAAGTTTATTACTGTCAGGTCTACCATTGTGTCCTGCCATTCTGTTGGAAGAGGGGAGGGGAGGCTCGCTGGCATTTTTGCATGCTTTTGCTTTGACTGTAACTGCTTGGGAATTAGGAAGGGGGACTGTCTTCAGAGATGGAGCGGATTCCCTCCCAGCCGGTTCCAGCCTGACTTCAAGACTGTCCTGACCTGAAGGTATACTGTTATCTGCCTAGCACCTTGGAGTTTCCATAACAACCTTGCAGCATCACATTGGCTGCTGGTGGACTGGTCAGGAAAGTTGGTTTGGGGAAATGAAAGAATGCTGTTTGCTTCACCTGGGCTTTTTCAGATTTCACCTTGAGTTCAAGTCACCACCCTCAAAATAATGGAAAGTGTGAATGTACAAACTCAGTGCTGGAACAATATCTCAGTTGTTATATCAATTATCAGCAAGATAACTGGACTGATTTGTTGCCCTTTGCTGAAGGGGCATACAACAACTCCATACATAGTAGCACAGGATTTAGCCCTTTTAGAGTGGCTACTGGACAGGTCCACCATTGGGTCCTGCACTTCTGTTGGAAGGAAGGGAAAGAGGTTGGCTAGCATTTTTGCATGCTTTTTTCTTTTACTATAACTGCTTGGGAATTTTTTCAGATTTTGCCCTGCTCTCCTGCAATCATTTTCTCTCAATAAAAATTATTTTGATTCAACTGGATGAATTCAAGATTCCTGTTTGCCTGAGGGGGCTAGATGAGGCAGGTCCTTACAATTACATATAATAATATATGAAGCTGGGTTTTTTTATATACAGGTAGTCCTCATTTAGCACCACAGTTGGGGTTGGCAATATGGTCATCAAGTGAAGCAGTGGCTAAGTGAAACTGCAACTGTGCTTATAATCTTATTCAGCTTTCCTTTCCTTTACAGACCTGAAAAGATTGTAAATGTGAGCATTGACCGCAAAGTTTACTTTTTCATCGCCGTCATTATGGCAAATGTTGCTGAAAGATGATCTGTATAACTTTCTGCTTAAATATTAATATCTGTTGAAAATACACCTGGAAGAACAAGAGGTCCTCACTTAAGGACCATTTGATCAATGACCAAAGTTACAACAACACTGAATGAAATTATGGTTGTTACAAGAGTCCCTGTAGTCACATGATTAACATTTGGATACTTGGCAGCTTGCCCACGTTTATGATCACAGGAGTTGCTTGACTCCTGCCAACCAATGCTACCCTTTCAGCTGCCCTGCATTCTATCACTGCTGTCTACCCTCTGCTGCCCCCTGCACCAGCTCCCAACTTAAGGAGAAACTTTCTGACAATGAGAACAATCAACCAATGGAACACCTTGCCCTGGGAGTGCCATCACTTGAGACTTTCAAGGAGAGATTGGACTGCCATTTGTCAGAAATGGTGTAGGGTCTCCCGCTTGGGCGGGGGGTTGGACTATATGATCTATAAGGTCCCTTCCAACTCTGAGTATCTGTTAACTGTCCTTTCTCCCACTGCCGAGGAGGCCATGCAAAGCTTTTTTTTGCCAGTTGGGTCTCAGCAGCGGGAGGAAGAAAACACAGACATCAGTTGGGGGAAGCAGATCGAGACAGGGGTGAGAGGCAGCAGAACACAGGGTGACCAAAACAAAAGAATTGTCTTCGAGGCCCTTTCAGCATGATGCAGAAACTCTGGGAGAGTAATAGCTGAATATGTATGAAAACCACATTGTGAAATTGATTCATACATTCCAGATATGCACACATGCAGAAAGTAATTTAACTCTGCTTTTAACCAAGGCAACTATTATTAGGCAGAAGCTGCCAATCAACTGAGCATTTTCCTCCTTGCATAAATGAGCAAAGACTTACTTGCAGTTTCATGGGAAATACTGAATTTCTTCCTCAACACATGGGACACAGACATGACCTAAAAAGAATAAAATCTTGTTAACAAGTAAACAAGGGTTGGATGTATTTTCCCCCCATTGCAACTTTCTTCAGCAGGACAGCATTTTGGCCCACAAATAAATGTCAGTCTGCTCATTTATTTTGTGGGTAATTTATCTATTTGTACTTTGTTTGCCTGGATTTATCCATTAAGTAAATGAAATTCAGTAAAACATTTCTTCTATTTGGATTAGACTTTTTAAAAGAAGCTGAATATCCTGTTTCTCCCCACAACTCTCCAACTGTACATCATTTAGCCCCAATTGTTTTCATCAAAATGTCATTTGCAATATGCAGTTATTAATATCACCTCAGAAAGGCCAAGAGAAATATCTCTTAGGACTACAGGATTATGTCTACCACTAAACACCATCAATAAATATTGAAAGAGAGGTTTTGAAAAGTACTTTTTAAATTTCTAGAACAGAGCTGGATCTGTGGATCCCCGTTTCAGAGATTTATATGCTTCTGCTTCTCCAGCTTCTGCTTTAATATCATGTAGAAGTATGTCAAGATTTATGTTTTGATCTTTTATGAATTTTACTTGGTAAATGTTATTTTTCCATCTATATTTTAAGTATGTCATCTTAATTAAGCATTGTCTATTGGCATACATGATCAGCATTTTCACGACTATTATTGGCTGCTGGTGATGTTGGAAAAATCATGCAATGGAATTTTAAAAGCTATGGTTATCTGAGTTTAAACTTTTATGATGATACCTTCAAAATTAACTAGGCAATCCTTGTAGATTTCAGAGCAAGTGGCGTTTGTTCCAAAAAATGAACCTAGGAGGAAATGTGCTTTTCTCTTGCCCTTATGTCATCCAAGATTTTAAAATCGGGGAAAATCTTCTTTGGCTAAATGTCAATGAGTAGGCAAATGATAGTTTCCACTTTCACAAGAAAAGCATCATTGCCATTTCTCATACTGTACTTGCACATACTTTCAAATCACCTGGTGATACTGTACCAGGAAAGTTTGAGTCCTCTATAGAATTATATGCATTCCAGGGAGGCTGAAGACTAAATGCTTTGGAATGAAGGATATGAAAAACATTGATATGATTTATGATAATCAAATGATAGGAAAATAGTTGGTTGAGTATGCACCTGGTTTGCATATCTTTACCTGCTCTAGGGCTAATTTATTCAAAAGTGGCAAAACAGCCATTTAGAAAGACTACATGTAAGATACAACTGAATTTTACTTTCCAATTTTCTCTGATGTTCAGTTCAGTGACAAACGTTTACTAGTGGACTTTATTTACTAATTCCTATATAGTACATTATATGTAATGCTTTAAGATTCGTGGCTCAGAAATGATCCGTTATGGAGTTGTTAGTTGTAATGCTCTTTAAAAAGTGGTTCAGATCAATTTATGCTGATTTTATTTTTACCCATGAAACCTTCCATCTGCCAAGACTCTTCTCCATTGCCTTTGCTCCCTTTAAGTACACATTACTCAGTGGTTTGCATTCCTTCTTTTTTTTCCATTTCCTTCTCTCCAATCTTTCCTGAATTCATAGTGTTGTCATTCCCCTATGGCAGTGGTGGCTAACCTTTTTGGGCTCCTGTGCCAAAAATTGTGTGAGCGCTTGCACGCTCGCACTCGTGTGCCAGCACCCAGAAGGCAATGTGCGCCCCACACATCTTCTACACATGTGCGTGCAATTCCCCTCACCCTCGCTGCCCCCTTACCTGTAGTGCGCCTCACAGCTGAATTTCGGCCAGTTTGAGGCTTTTTTCAGCCTCCCAGAGACTTCAGGAAGGCTTCTGCAGGCTTTTCAGGCCAAAAACTAGGCCCGTTTTGTCACTTCCGGTATTTCTGGAAAAATTGGAAGAGATGAAACAGGCCTTGTTTTCGGCCTGAAAAGCCTGCAGAAGCCTTCCTGAAGCCTCTGGGAGGCCGAAAAAGGCCTCAAACTGGCTGAAAATCAGCTGTGAGACACGCACATGCACAGTGAAGTAAGTTTGCCTGCAGCTCATGTGCCGACACAAATGGCTCTGCATGCCACCTATGGCGCGTGTCATAGGTTTGCCATCACGGCCCTACAGTATATGTAACTTTGTTTTGTCAAGTAGCATATAGGACATTGTTGTAATTCTTCACAGTATCAGAAACAGCATTCAGAATACCTAAACTCTCAAATGAGATCCAAAAAAATGTATTCAAAATCCTACCTCTGACCAAAGCAACACAAAAACAGAATGGTCTTAAAACAAACTGCCCTCTCTAGCCATAAAAAATATTATAGAAGGACCAAAAACCATCAGGCAAAGGTGAATGACAGTTCTTATGGATAGAGGACAACACATTAAAAAAAACCTAATGAGGTGTCGAACAATAAATTTGCTTACATCTCTCTGGAAGAAAACATGCAAACACCTAGAAAAGAAGCATCATCAAATGTCCCTAAAAAGTAGCACCATCAAGTGCTTCTGTGATACATAGAAAAATACTAGATTATTACCCTTTTCTACTACTACATCTAGGGACAAATGACACAAAAAAGGACAATATTGAGTGATTATGAGCAGCTCAGCAAGAAAGTTAAGGAGTTAGGTGCACAAGTAGTTTTTTCATCTGTACTACCAACGAAAGGTAAGAGGTAAAATAAATCCAGTAAGAGAATGAAAGATTCTAGAAGTGAACCACTGGCTAAAGAGTTGGTATTGCCAAAAAAAACCTTTGGATTCCTGGATTGTGGTCTGCACTACATTCATGATGGGCTTTTGGCAAAGGATGGGCTGCATCTCACAAAGACTGGGAATAATGTTTTTGGAAAACAACTAGCTCAACTTATCACAAGGGCTTTAAACTAAAATTGAAGAGAGAGAGTGACCAATCTTTAGAATCTCCAAGACCTAATTCCAAGCAAAAATCCCTAGAAAATAAGTCAAATAAAGAAGTTGGGAGGGATGGGAAGGAAGACACTCAAACACCAAATAGGAGTCATAGGAAGGATACTCAAAGTCAGACAAAAACATCTCAAGTGTCTATATATACTTGGGGAACAAACGGGGTGAACTCAAATTATTAATACATGAAGGTAGATATGATATAGTTGCAATCACAGAAACTTGATGGGATGAAACCCATGACTAGAACATACTGATAGAAGGATACAAACTGTTAAAAAAAATCCAGACCCCATAAAAGAGGAGGTGGAGTTGCATGTATGTAAAGGATCACTACATTGATACAGAAATATACGAAATCAAAGACGAAAACCTCCTAGAATGCATATGTATCAATATGAAAGAAAAAAAGAATGACATTGCCATAGGTGTATACTACAGGCCAAGCAGAAAAAAATAGAGGTACTTTTTGCTAACCAATTAACAATTATATGTAGGAAACACACTATAATAGTAATGGGGAACTTCAATTACCCTGACATCAACTGGAAGACTAATTCTGCACCAAGTGAGAAATCGAATAGGTTCCTGACCAACCTAGCTGACAATTTTGTTATCCAAAAAGTAGAGGAAGATAGAGAAGAACCGATAGAGGAAGCTGAAACTGCAGGAACCTTGAGTGAGAGTGTCCATGTCAAACTGGAATTCAGCATAATGCAAACACAAACAATAAAACATAATGACATCAGAATCTTAGATTTTAAACGAGTTAATTTTAACAAACTCAGAGAGAACTTGGGAAAGATTCCTTGGATGAAAATCCTAAAGGGGAAAACAACTCAAGAAAGTTGGGAACTCTGAAAAATATGATCATAAAATCCCAGTCCAGGATAGTGCCACTGAAAAAGAAAAACAAGAAATCCAAGAAGAAACCAGCATGGCTGCCCAAAGATCTCTCTTGATACATTGAAAGACAAAAAGGACAAGTACAAAAAATGGAAAGAGGGACATATAACTATGACAGAATATTAGCAGATAGCCAGAATCTGCAAAGACGAAACGTACCATACATACCAAACCATTCTTATTTCTTTCTTTAACATAGTGACTGAATTAGTGGACCAGCGAAATATTGTGGACATAGTATACTTAGACTTCAACAAAGTAGACCACAATCTACTTCTCAGTACCGTTAAGTTAGAAAAAAATAGGATAGATAGCATCACCATCTACAACTGGCTGACAAACCATACTCAACAATTAGTCCTTCACGGTACTATGTCTATATGGATGGAGTTAAGCTGTGGGGTACACAAAGGTCCATCTTAGGCCCAATGCTCTTCAATATTTTCATAAACGACTTAGATGAGGGAATAGAAGGGGAACTTACCAAATTTGCAGATGTTACTAAGCTGGCAGATATAGCCAACATCCTAGATAATAAATTCAAGATCCAGATGGATCTTGACAACTTAAACACTAGGCTCTATCTAACAAGATAAAATGCAATGTAGAGAAAAGTAAAGTCTTGCATTTAGGCAAGCAAAACCACAACTACACATATATACTGGGTAATACTGGGCTTAATAGCAGTAACTGTGAGAGGGATCTTAAGAGTCTTAATGGACAACTAATTAAATATGAGCCAACAGTGTGTGGCGGCAGCCAAAAAAGCCAATGCAATCCTAAATTGCATTAACAGAGGGATACAATCAAGATCAAGTGAGGTACTAATACCACTCTATAAAGCTTTAGTAAGATCACACCTAGAATACTGCATCCAGTTTTCGCTACCACACTATAAAAAAGATTTAGAGACTCTAGAAATAGTTCAGAGAAGAGCAACAAAGATGATTAAAGAACTGGAGGCTAAAACATAAGTAGAACGGTTGGAAGTACTTGGCATGGCTAGTCTAGTGACGAGAACGACCAGGGAAGACATAATAGCAGTGTTCTAATATTTGAGGGCTATTACAGAGAGGAGCGGGTTAATCTGTTTTCCAAAGCACCTGAAGGCCAGACAAGGAATAATGAATGGAAACTGACTGATGAGATTCAACCTAGAAATAAGGAAGGATTTTCTGACAGAGAACAATCAACCAATGGAACAACTTGCCTTCAGAAGTTGTGGGAATTTCATCACTGGAGGCTTTCAAGAAGAGACTGGACTGCCATTTGTCAGAAATGAGTCTTCTGCTTGGGCGGGGTGTGTGTGGACTAGATGACCTACAAGGTCCCTTCCAACTCTGTTAATTTCTAAATACAAGCTCAATATAGAAAGTAGACAATCAAATGAAGAAAGCCTTAATGATCTAGTCAAGGTAATACAAATTACAAAACAACAAACATGTTCAAAAAGCTATGGATCCATTTCCCATGCTTTTATGGACACACAAAAATACACAGACCAGATATACTGCTCTACCTAATTGTGTAATTATTGGGCACCCCAACATACAATTTTGCCAAAGAACTCATTAAAAATGTGGCTATTTTGATGGGAGCAAACATGCTATCAATTCACTATTACAGTGCTTTTAGAAAATAAAAGAAAATATTTAATAGCTGAAGAAGGTGAATTCATGAACTCATCGATAACACAGCATTCTTCACATCCATAGATCCAAAACTGGCAAAAACCAGTTAATCCTTACTATATACAAAGCTCCACATCAAGTGAAGGAAACAAAAATGGAAATTACTTAGAAATATGGAACTTATAGACTAGTGCCTCACTATTTATTTTCAGTTTGATAGACAGATCTACAAAGAAATAAAAGGAACATCTATGGAATCACCTATTTCAGGATTCAAATCAGAAACAATTAAGCAGCGTCTGGAAATAATAGACCTCCTCCATAAATAACTCCAAATGTGAATCTATTATGTGGACATTATGTTTTTGTCATAACCAAATACTTACAACAAAATCAGTCTTTAACAGAATCAAATGTATAAGGGAAGAAAAGAATAACAGACTACCATTCCTAGATATTATCAACAACCAAAGTATTAATGGCAGGCTTCATATTCAGATATATTGAAAACCAGTATAAACAAACCAAGTGCTGCATTACCAAAGCAACAATCCAACTGCCCAACATAAGAGGGCTTTCAGACAAGCCTGAATATCCAGACTTGTCTGTATATTCCAAGAACTCCAAAGAGAGGGAATAGACAATATTTATAGTATCCTTCAATGAAATGGTACCCATTACATTGGGTACTCACATTATTAAAAGTGCTTTTCAATGCAACCAACTGGAACACAACCAACCCAACCCATAAAAAGAATAAATCTTCCATACATTAAAAATATCTAAAAAACCACCAGTTATTACATCAACTGCAAAGTATCGAAGTAGCCCACAGACCAACAAAATCATTCCAAAATATCTTAAACAAACGTGAAATGAAATTATTTACAACATACTGTAGAATGACTGTGAAAGCTACTGTGTAGGACAAACAGGCAAAGGATTAGAGAACACACTTAGTTGGCAGCCAGAAGACATGCTGGAAAGTTTTACTGGATATACGGACCAATTTAATCGCCAAGTCGACTATAGCCATTTTAGATCAAGTGAAATCCAAAAATATAAGAGAGTTCCTAGAGGCCTAGCATCCTAACAGATCAGATACACAGAAAAAAAATCTAGTTAACAAACTATTAAAAAAAGCAAACTAAGTCCCAAGAAAGACCAGAGTTTGGGGCATTCTTTATTATATCCTCAAGGTATAGATGTCAGATAACAAACACAGAAATAATAAAATAATACAGTCAACAAATGAGATTTGCTGCCTATTAAGAGTACTTAGATTTCCTGCTTTGCTTAGAAGGCAGGATTCATATCTCCTCAAATTATAAACTTGAATTCAGAGACCATACAATTTTATTAAGACACATCATTGGTTGTTTTTTTTGTAAAATTTAGGTATGCTCACCTGGATGCCTCTTTTCTTCTTAGACCTTTCCACTGGTTTAACTGTCAACCCAGCAGCACTCAGTGCAGCGATCCGAGATTCTATATCAGACACCTTTATAGGAAGTAGAACATTTTTCCATCATAAAGGCAATTGGACTTTTTCCTAGCATAAAACCAATACGTGGTTGTACTGTATATGCATACACAGAGAGGCAAACATCTATCCCTAATTTAAGTCAGTGCAGCAATAGCACTATTTCATTTGACACTTGACATGCCAATGAACTGGAATCTGGGGATAATTGTCTTCAATTATTTAAGTACTAAAAATAATAATAAATGGAACAAGCATGCCATGCTTTATGTAAGTGACTATAGCTTTCCAGCAGTGGTGGGATTCAAACATTTTTACTACCAGGCTTGGTGGGCCTGGCAGGGGAAGGATACTGTAAAATCTCCAGTCAGAGGTGGTATTTGCCGGTTCTCAGAACTACTCAAAATTTCCGCTACCGGTTCTCCAGAACTGGTCAGAACCTGCTGAATACTTCTGCTTTCCAGACTTTCTCAGGCTTTTTTAAAAAACAGACTACACCCTGATTTCATTACAATGTACAAGTCAGGTCCTAGCAGTGAAAAAAAAATGTACTTTTCTCAGAACCAATTATTTTCTGCCTTCATTATGAGTTCCCAGATTTCTGAGGCAAAATTGCGTTGCCTCATCTGTGCTGAGCTAGCCTGCAGAATAAGGTTTAGGCAAGATCAATTCCCATTGTGACTTATCTTCTTTCTTAATTAAGAGAAAGATATTAAGAAAGAAAATTGATTATACTTTTCTTGATTTAAGAAACTGCATTTTATTTTTATTTTCTATTCTATTTTTTACAGAGTCACTGTATAAAAGCTTCAGTCAATTTGTATTGATCAGTCAAAATATAAGGCTATCTTGTCCAGGAAAATACAGATAGATAGATAGATAGACAGACAGACAGACAGACAGACAGACAGACAGACAGAGGTAGAGGTAAAGGTAGAGATAATTTTCTGGGGAATTCTTGCTTGGATTAGAAATCAATCCAAGCTGCCTTTTAAGAAAAGACAACAGGGATTTACCTCAGTCTCTCTGTGTTGTAATTCAGCCACAGAAAAAGCCACTTTGTCTTCCAACTCTGACAGTTCTGAATCTGTTGTTGCACTGTGATGGTTTTGGTCCTCCAACTCTCTTCGTCTTTTCTGCAATCCATAGATGATCTCCATAGGAGCAGGCACCTGCAATCAGCAATACCAATTACTTTCCAGCTAGATTATTGTCAATAATCTCTCTAAACTCTAGAGCAGGGGTGTCAAACTCACGTCATCTTGGCAGCGTCATGTGATGTATCCAGACTTTTCCCCCCTTCGCTAAACTGGGCATGGGCGTAGCTAGCACGTGATGCATCCAGCCCAAGGGCCAGGAGTTTGACAGCCCTGCTCTAGAGCAACACAATCTCAGTTCAGCAGTAATAAAAATGGTATTTTTCCTTCTAGAGATTATTAGGAAAGGAAATGACAATAAAATTGTCAGCACCATATCACTCTTCCCAAAATCAAGTCTATATTTACATTTGAAATAATATGGAGTAGGCTAGTTTCAAGGATGTGAGAAAGCTTTTTAGTTAGAAAAAAAGTGATGGCAGTGAACTGTGTTTGACAGTAATTCAAAAGTTGAACAGAAATGACAAGTTAACCCAGATACCACTCCAACATCACATATAAACATGAGTTTGTGGCAATTAACTTGTGTTTTCTCTCATCCCATTTTCCAATTTCAGATAGAAACAACTAGACCCAATTGGACTTCTCATCACATTTACTAAGCTATAAGTATTACAAAAAGTTGACAGCTGAGGGGTGCAATACTTTGGAAAGGGTGCCTTGCTTCAGTGGGTTATTAAGAAAAGCTCTGGGTTGAACACAAATTTCAACCAAACCCACTAATAGGTTCCAAAATAATGACTTCTCTGCATTTGCAGCCCAAAGGCCCATCCTTTAAGTAAGGCACCTGGTCAAAACATATTAGCCTCACCAGATGCTTCATAGGGCAGAGTATCATGCCTCTGCCCTCAAGCATTAATCTGAGGCATATTATCTCTGCTGTACCAAGTTTGGCCTTCAGGCAGAACACTATCACATTCCAGTAAAATATAGCAATAGCATTTAGACTTATATACCACTTCACAGCGCAGCCCTCTCTAAGCAGTTTACAGAGTCAGCATATTGCCCCCAACAATCAGGGTCTTCATAGTGTTATGAAACATTTAAAAAGTTGGGAATCTGAGAAAAGCAGGCAAAACAAAACAAAAGTTTTAATGTCAGGCTGCAACACTGTGCCTGCCTTCCCCATATCTATTTTGGGAATAATGGCATTTGCATTAAAACATTTAAACAAATAGGGAGGTAAGTATTTTTGAACTGCAGATGGGGTCTATTAGTTTGATGGATGGGTAAAATTTCTTTAGAAATATATAACAGGTTTTCTACTATGACAGAAGTGCTTTAAGCAGATTCTACTCTCCTTAAATGCATTCTGCAGAACGTTCTCAGAATTTTAAACCTACCCATCAGGGCAAAGAAATGGTAGAAGTTGATTAAGAATTTGACCAGGTCATTTTCTTCAGAAAGAAATACACCAGGCATTTTAACCAAAGCTATACAAATATTCCTTAGCTGCAGTAGCCATTTGAACATCCATGAACTATTCAGAAGGTAGTTCCAAACTATAGTCCTCAGCTTTCAGAAGGAACCAAATCCTATTCAGAACAGGCTGTTCCCCCAATCGTGACAGTGCTTCACTGTTGATCAAAGAACTTGTCTTTGTTTGAATTGCATTTTGCTTTGTTAAACCATAGGCAATCTGAGCCACCTCTCCAGATTATGTAGAGCAGGGGTGTCCAACCTTGGCAACTTTAAGACTTGTGGACTTCAACTCCCAGGGAATTCTGGGAGTTGAAGTCCACAAGTCTTAAAGTTGCCAAGGTTGGACACCCCTGATGTAGAGGGTTTCCTCATCAACTTGTCATATTTTTTAAAAAAGGAGTGTTTGTGTCTATGTGACTAAATGATAGTGAATAGTTTCATGAGAATTGCCCAATCAAGTGCTATGATACAAAGATATTGATGTTATTTGTTTGAGATTAAGTGCTCTTTGCTAGTTCAGAGCAGGAATATTGAGAGCTGTAATAGAATTTGTGACATCTTGATAAGATTTTGTTCAGAATTCAAATGTTCGAATTCCTGCCTGTCATTGCACATTATGTACATTCACTGTTCTATTGCATTTATAACTCTACTGCCAATTGGATTTTAGAAAGTTCACATTTTAAAAGTCTCCCCTATGCAACTGTCTTTTTTGTATTATACAGAAGTGTAAAATAAAAGGGGCAACACGTTTTCCAATCTGGGGCTCACGCTTCTCATTTGAGTGTCATATTGGAAGTAGCACCTGAAAAATCAGCAGAGCCAGATCAAACTGGGTGAAGTCCAGTTGAGATCTAAATATTATTCCATTCATTTACATCATGTGATTATGCACATTGGTTTGGGAGACACTCTCACAGTGTAACCACAGTATTTGCATTAAATGATCTGCACTTTTATCATCTGAAACTTTAAAATGTCATCCCCTATAAGTATGTGCCTAAGTACTCACGAAGAACAGTCATCAATAGTTCTCTTTTCAAAACAAATAAAAATGTAAAGATTTATATTTCAGTATACTATTAATTTCTCTGATATCTCAGAAACATTACTTTTTTTAGGAGCAAATATGCCTTTGAAATTTGAATATGATCAAATTCTATCAAACAGAAGAAAGAAAGCTTAAAATCATTTCTAGTTAGCAGAATTTTTGATTTCCAACGAAGAGTTGGGTGGCTACTAATTTGCTTTGAAGTGAAGCAGGGTGTTTTTCAAGTTGCTGTATTAGGAACTGAATTGAATCTTGTGGCAAATGTGAATCCCAACTCATCCTACACTGCAACAATTTACAGATCCCAGAAAATCTGGTAAGAAACCTACAGTATATGATAGACAACTTTATTATATCTAAGTTGCAGAGGATGTTAAGAATTGTTTGAATAAGGCAAACTAGTAAATTCAAGACTGATTTGAGATTAAAACTTGAGATTTCCTGACAAATTGGCCACCATAAATTAACTGGCTTCCTCTTTTTCCACATGCTTAATTTTATGGATTTGATACATATATGAGTGATTACTGTGATGCAACAGATAAGGTATTGAACCAGGAGTGGAGAAACCTAGATTCCAGTCCTCCCTTAGGCATGGAAGTCAATTGGATGATTTTGAACCACTCTGTCTTAGACTATGAAGTAAAAAAAAAATCTATTGGCTGAACTGTAATTGACCAATGTTCATACTTTCAGTGAAGAGATCTTCATTCTACAGTATATTGATTTGGGATACACATACATATATTATATAACATCACAATTCCTGAATGATGTTTTCTCATGATAAACTTTCAAACTTTTAAGGTGAAAGTAGTTTAAACAGGTCAACTGTTCTTATTGTTGATATATCTATTCTGAGGTGACCAGTATTTTTCCCTCCAGTTCTCCAAATGTGCTGGTCTAAAACTCCCAACTTATTCGTTATTAGTTGTATCAGTTGTAACTTATACTTCAGTGACTTGTGGGATGAGGGACACACAGATTGGACAACTCTAAGTTGTGCTTTCATACATTTCTTTCTAATACTTCCTAGGTTAGAGGCACCTGCTTCCTATTTCTCAAGCGCCATTAGAATCATCATCCAACATCTTCATCCTTTCAAGAAGACTCTCAAGGATTTCTATATTGTGTTGATTGGTCTCAAGTGCTTTGGCTGTGATGCCACAAAAAGCCCTGGCTGGTGACCTCTAGGTTTTATGCTCAACTAGTTACTTTGTGTGCAGCAGAAGGGAAATGGGGGAATTAGAGAAAATGGGAAGCAGGAAGCTGTGTGGTTGCTTTAATTAAAAGGGTTTGTTATCCATGGAGGACTCTTAACCTGAGGAAGAGTAACAGCCAGATAATACATTGATCCTGGATAATGCTTTTACAGAATACAGCAGGGACAAAGGCACTACCTCAAAGCGCAAGTGAAAAGCTCTCATTAGCGTAATGGCTTATGTGTGAGAAGCACTTTTTGCCTCAGAAGCAGAAGATATGAAGGGATTGTTCATGGTGACCACTGTACGGTACATTTGTACGGTACATTTTATTTTGGTCAGTCTGCTCTTGATAAAGCCAGATGGTCTCAGGAAAGAAATGTCCGGGGGGGGGGGGGGGCAGGAAATGGAATTGGGAAAGTATATGAGAATACACACATTCCACATGTAACACATTTAGACTTTAAACTCAACATTGAAGTATTGTATTTGTGTAAGTATTGGTATAAAATATGAGACTTTATTTCATAAGGTCTTACACTGCCTTTCTTTTGAACTGGGCTGGAACAGTCCCTGCAGATTAAACTTTGGAACAAAGAAATAAATATTTCTGGACCAACAAAATCACCATTGTTTTGTGAAAATGCTTTTCAGAACAACTCACTTTAATGCACCATGTGATGACTCATTACATGAAAAGCTTTCTGCCCAGAGGGCATTTCATATTAAACCTATATGCCAACTTGACAGGAAAAGTAAGCCTTGTTAAAGAAGACAATTAAGAGGAATGATCTTGCCTATAGCTTGTGACCCCATCAGAATTAAGACTGGGCAGCAGAACTTGCTTTTATCTGGTTTTGTATGTGCAATTTATTTTTAAGGGAGGTGAAATCATAGATCATCTGGTGCCCTTGATAGCCAAAGTCTGTTTAAATAAGTAGGAACATCCTCTCACCACTTGGCAACTAGATATTGAAAGTAAGCAATCAAAACGAGAGAGGAAAGGATCATTGGGGAGGACACTTAAGTAGAGTACATTATGATCCATCAGTACATGTCAGGTTGGACAGCAAAAGTAAATGTAGTGCTATAGGTGAACTACCTAAAACTTATGATTGGTTGCTTAACAACAATTCAAAATTAAGACGGGCCCAGAACATGTGTGTAAAGCACTTCTAGCCATTGTAAAATGTCACACCATACCTTCCCTGTGATCATATTACTGCATTTCTCTGGTTTGGCAATTGGCTTGCCTTCACAACTGGCTGTAGTGGTCATATAACTGTAATTTATGAAGTTTTTTTGCCAGTTTCTGGCAAAATCCTCCCATTCAAAAGAAT